TATTTCTTTTTTACATTTTACGTATTCAAATTCCCCTTTCTCTAAGTTGAAGAATGGTGTTATGAGTAACATCAAAGAGCAAATAAAGCTTTTGTTTCTTCTTCTATGTATTGCTTGAAAAATTATGTCAGTTCTCATCTTTATATATATAATTCTTCTGTGAGTACGTATGTCACTGAACTTCTCTCAAAGGACTGGACCGATTTTGATGAAATTTTTTGTGTGTGTTCAAGGGGATCTGGAATTGTTTAGATTCACAATTTTGTCCGCTGGACAATGTTTTTTTAATTATTTTTAATTTATTAGTAGTTGTTGAAACAAACGTTTTTTTTGACATTAGATTTGACAACTAACTAATATGTTAATTATTCTGTCGCACTTCAAAATACGGAGTTTTATGGCTTTAATAGGTAAACTCCAAAAATATAAAAAAAAAGTAACAGATATTTTTGATTATAGGGCGATACGAAGTTCGCCGCTTCTTCTAGTTTGTAATAAAATTGTCAATAACTATTATTACTACTTATACATAGTAACTAACTATTATTACTTTACATAGTAACTTTTGGAATGATGTTAAAATAATATCACCAGTTAGACTCATTATGACCGCTTATTTTTTTTGTTTGGTTCTCAACATCTCTTATATGTATATATGAAAGTGGTCTTCAAATTCAGGTTTTGTCGCAGTGCTATTATATCTATTACAATAAGAGATGGTAAATAAAAAGGCATAGGCAAGAGATTATGGTATAAGCTTACTTTCTGATCTGTTTTTTCTTTTTCTGATAACCCTTAAATTTACTACTTCATATTTTTTTTAATTTCTTATGTGAATCCCAACAAAGAGTTTTTACCTTATATTTATTAATATTAACATTTTATTAAAACCGCCTCATTAAAAGACTAATTAATGTCTCCTATTTCATTTATAAAAGAAAACATGTTCCTTTCATCATTTGTTTATGTTTGTAGATGATATATAATTTAAATATATAGAATGAAAAGGTAACTCCCGTTTATCTCCCATAAGCCATGAGATGGATTAACTGGTAAAAAGTTGTTACAGCAATTTAGAAACATTATTTTAAGTCAATATTAAAATATGTCGACCACTGCATCATGAAATGTATAACATTCAACAACTGTACCATTCTTTTATGTTAAACCTGTAAAAAAAATATGATATTACATTTGAACGTGTAATCATTATCAAGAGAAATTGACAATTGTTTTTGTATAAAGAGTTTTTATATAAATTCTCGATTACCTCAATGATTTATTAAATACTAAAAAAATATGTGTACATGTAACTTGATAGAATTATGGGGAACAAATACTGTTTTGGGCTTTGTCATACTCAGATACTTCTTATTGTGTAATTAATGTTATTCTTTCTTGTTATAAACATAACTCATTCACTTTTATTTCCATTTTCACAGATACATCTTTATCTCTGTCCAAAAATGTCTTCATATATAATTGAAATTGGCACTTTTTAGCTACTTATGCGTATTAAACTACTTCACGATAAAAGTAAAAAGATACACTAGTCATTAAAAATTTATACCTTTATATTATGTGTATTTTACATTTATAATATTTTTATATAAAAATATAATAAAATATAGAAATATTGTAAGGAAATTGTTATCGAAGATGATGGCAACACGATAACGATTAAGTAATATAACTTCGATGACGAGATTTATAAATTAAAATTAATAATAAGGGCACTAAATTACGATTCATTTACAACGAAAAAACAAAGTAACAGTGACACTAGTTTTTTATACCTTACCTTTAATACCTTAAAATGAGTATTGAGTAATCACTCCTTAACATTTTGTAAAAATACCAATTAACTATTAAATATATGTATGATAATTTTTCATGTACATTAAAAATTTTTCAAACAACACACTATGTTATGTACAACTTTTCGTAACTCCCATAACAAAATAACATAAAGTTATATCTATAATATGTATGTGCTATTTATTTAACCAAAACATACAAATGTATTTTTTTCAATTCTGAGGAAATAACTGATATAATAATTTCTGTTTCCTTTCAACCGCTACAATTTCGCTGAAGAATCGAAATAATAAAGCCCAACAAATATTTTTCCCTCCGGTTTGCTCTCTGTATCGATGAAAAAAACAAAAAAAGGAGGAGGTCGTAAACCAAAAGCTTTTTTTTTATTTTTTATTTTTATGCCAAGGCAGTGAGAGAGATTTTCTTCGATATAGTCGGTATTGAATGTCGATTTTCGATTCAGACTTTTACCTCATAGAAGTTCAATAAAAATGTAAGACTTCAACAGTATTTTATATTGATAAATATATAGTAAAAAGCAGGTCATTGAAAAATAAAAAGAACCTTTCTTTATAAATTGATTTATCTAAAAAAGAAATCACTACAGAGAAGTACTGCACAGAACTAAAACTAATTGGCAACGTAAACATGAAATATTTTGATCCAATAAAAATGAAAATACTTTCTTATACAAACAGAAACAAACATTTGATTGACTTTTGACGTCTGGTATGTAAAGCATCACTGCTTTATTTTGTGCAAATATATTTTGTGCAGATCAAGCACATTGTTAAAATTATTATTTTATGAAACACACGCGTGGAGTATCATACATGGTAAACAACACTTCATGGTTCATAAACTATTAGTATTGGCGCTAAATGTGCGAGAAATATAGGGTCATGAAGCCTGGTGTAGGGTGGCCATGCAAACAGTTGCTCTGGTCTAATGCATTGGATGTTCCACATTAATTGTAAAAACTTCTGCCAAAAAACAAAAAATTGCTATTGTCGTTATTCATTTTACGATATTGTTAGCAGCTTATATGTGTTTCAAAGTAACCTTCTTGGTGGAGATGTCGTGGTCTTTACATACTTAAAGACCAAATAATAAAGAAATTAGAATATTATAAGCAAGTTACTTATAATTCTTGAAAAACTGAAATATGGTTTAGTTCATTAAAGTTATTTCACCAAAACAAATTTTTTCAAAAACATTGCAGTAATAGTAACGTAATGATATAAATTTATAGAAATATCAAATTCGTTTTTAAAACGCATTAAAAAGCCCTATTACTGAAAATCTTTTAGTTAGTTTAGAAAAATGATAATTTTTGTTCGTCATAATAAATTTCCCTATATAATGAAGTATATAGGAAACCAAACTTATATTATTTAAAAGTAATGTCTCAGTCTGTCCACATTTTATGATCTAAATAACAAATGTCTATAACTATAAAATAAAAGATGGTGAATCCAAGTGGAATCACATGATTAGTTTGCAAAATTATTCATATGAAACGCTCCCATCGCCGCACTTCATCTATAAAACATTAGAAACGCTTTCACTTGATACAACTTGTACGATAAAATGTACATAAATGATTACAGCTTACTGTAAAATCGTATATAAACATATATTAAAAGTTTAATCCTTCTACTACCTAAATAAAAAATATTCAGAGTCTGCGATCAGAAAAAAACATTATTAAAAAGTTCAAAATTCATTATTAAGACGAAGGTACAGTGTAAAATTTTCTTAAAACAACTACACTTATAAGAAAATTGTTTTACTTACACTTCTTATCTTTTCAAATTTCATACAAAATAATATTCTTGGTCAATGAAACTAGTGTCACATAGAAATTTACAGACTCATCTATGTAAACTGGTTAACACCATTGTATACGTTAATTCTATTAACGCTGGAGTTTGTACAAATAAGATAACCCAAAAGGTATTTGCTTATGTTGTATTTTGCAGAGGTAAAGTTCTCATGAACCCTTGTCACGCACTAAGCCTCATTTTGAGAGAAAAGTTGTGCACAAAAATTGAGCATTTGATCGTATCATTTGAAGAAATATTACAAACGCCAGACACAATGACACATTAATAATCTCTACAGCTTTGGATGATACAAGTTGAAAATCAATATATTGCTACGTTACCGCAATACAACGTTTACGAGACAATTCAAAAAGATAATACTAGAAGCAATGACCTAGAAATACTTTAAAATTGAAGTTATATTGAAATATATTTGAATACTAAGAAAAACAAACGAATTACTGTACAATACGAATAAAACAAAAACTAATAAAACAACAATTCTCTGCTTCTTATTTAAAGATATGTATGTAGCGAAAGATTTTCATGAATTCATTAATAGTTAATAAAGATGAACTGGTTTTAACAACTATAGCTTATAGTGGTATCAGTTAAACAACGTACATTGACGTTCTAAAAATACGTAATAAATAATGACTAATGTCAAATATTATATTAAAATTAAGGACTGCATACCCAGAAACATATAAAAACCCTTTTTTATGCTAACACTATACCCTAGAGCGTTTGAAAACTATTGATACCTTTAAATAAATTAATAATCATGGTAATAAAACACTAATAAAATCAATGAAAATTACCTTGCTTTTTCAAACAACAACTTTAAAAGAGATTATTAAATAAATTAATAAGTTCATTTGCTTTGAAAAATACATATAAAATTAATTATTGCTTCTTCTTGTAAAGAAATGTAGTGCTCGTAATATAATTAACAATAAAAAATATTTTTATATAAATCATATTGCAGGTTTCTGGCGAACTCCTATAACAAAACAATGAAGACTACATCATTGATTTTTCTTCTCCGGAAATACGTTTCTGACTGTAAGTAATAGTAGATAAGAGATAATTATTTTACTTTTATGTTATAAGAACTATATTCTATGTTTTCTGAAATGTCGTCAATATATTTATTAGCTGAATTTTATATATAAATCTTGTCTAGGCTAGTTTACTTTTTTTTCATAATTTTTTCGCTAAATAAATTTTTTGTTGTTTGTATACTAAAGAAGAAATGAGAATAAAATGAAAATGTTGTATTTGTTTCATAATAGTATCATGATTATTTTTTATTTTTATTGATTAGACAGTGTCGAAGTGTCGCGGTGAGGAATTATGGAGGGCGCGGATGGAAGCGAAGAGTTGTTGGACTGGGAGGCTTTGTATCGGTCCCCGGTACAGAACAGTTCCTTTAACACCACGGACTGGGTTACCAATGCATGGAACACATCAGTGGCAAATACCTCCTGGTTGGATGAGTCCGCGCCCTTCGATTCAGCATCCGCTCTGCTGCGGGCCGCTGCCAAAGCTGTGCTACTGGGATTACTCATCTTGGCAACTGTAGTTGGTAGGATATTTATATACAGTGACTAAATCTTTGAAATACTTACATCAGGATACGTGAAAATAAACAAATCTATTAGTATCAGAAATATTTAGGAACTAGGTTAAACGACCGCAGATGTTGCAGTTCCATAACATCACTAAGATATTGTTTTTATGTAAATAAATTACCATATAAATTATTTATATACAACTTGATGCTTTTCTTTACTATTCGTTTCCAAAAAAAAGCACCGTAGGTATGTTATTTAAAAGTACATACTTAGACACGTATATAATTATAATATGAGTTTTACCGTTTGTTTTATCTTCTTTTAAACATTAAATTATTTACGCAGGTAATGTGTTCGTGATAGCAGCCATACTTCTGGAAAGACATCTACGCAGTGCTGCTAATCATCTCATCCTCTCGCTAGCAGTGGCGGATCTTTTAGTGGCTTGTTTGGTAATGCCACTTGGGGCTGTGTACGAGGTTGCTCAACGCTGGACCTTAGGCCCGGAGCTGTGTGACATGTGGACTTCTGGGGACGTCCTATGCTGCACAGCATCCATTCTGCACCTAGTTGCAATCGCGCTTGATAGGTATGTAAAAATATATTTGTTTTTATGTTTATTAGTCACGGTTACACAATACGGCGAGTGCGTCTGGAACGCACCAGGATTTAAGTTTTCAATACTGTTATAAACCAGACATAGTAATCATATAAAACAGATACCCACTGTTACGAAATTAGAAACTGGTTTAGAATTTATCTTTAAAATATTATTCAATAATTATATTTTTGCTATCAATAAAATATTGATCTTTTTCTAGAAAGGGTTTCTTTCTTTCTATATTTTATTATATTTTAATTCAGTGACCCTGTGAACACCTAATTAAATAAGAACGGTTGCGAATACATTTCGAAAATACTTTTATTTATTAAAGGTACTGGGCTGTGACTAACATCGACTACATTCACGCGCGAACTGCACGTCGTGTAGGATATATGATTGTTTGCGTCTGGGCTGTGAGTTTCCTGGTATGTATCGCACCATTGCTGGGTTGGAAAGACCCCGACTGGGATCGTCGCGTCTCCGAGGATTTGCGGTGTGTTGTAAGCCAAGATGTGGGCTACCAAATATTTGCAACCGCTTCATCCTTTTACGTGCCAGTACTCGTGATCTTAATACTATATTGGAGAATATATCAAACTGCTAGAAAGAGAATAAGACGACGTCATGGTACAACGACTAGAGGTGTAGGTCCACCCCCAGTCCCAGCGGGTGGGGCATTAGTTGCTGCTGGGGGAAGTGGAGGGATCGCTGCAGCTGTGGTTGCAGTCATCGGCCGCCCTCTACCAACTATTTCTGAAACTACTACAACGGGTATTACTAATGTCTCGTCTAACAACACAAGCCCAGAGAAACAATCGTGCGCAAATGGGTTGGAAGCAGATCCACCCACCACAGGATATGGGGCGGTTGCCGCAGCGTACTACCCGACATTGATTCGTCGAAAACCAAAAGAAGCGGCTGATTCGAAAAGAGAGAGGAAAGCGGCTAAGACACTAGCAATAATTACTGGCGCGTTCGTAGCGTGCTGGCTTCCTTTTTTCGTGTTAGCTATTTTAGTGCCAACGTGTAATTGCGAAGTGAGCCCAGTGCTTACATCACTTTCGTTGTGGCTGGGTTATTTTAATTCAACACTGAATCCAGTTATATATACAGTATTCAGTCCGGAATTTCGTCACGCGTTCCAAAGGCTCCTCTGCGGTCGCCGCGTGCGCCGTCGTCGCGCTCCCCCTTAACAATAGAATTCTCCGTGTTCCTCGCTCCAACCCGACTGACCTCATTTAGATTCATACATATTGTGTTAATTTGTTACATTTTCAGAGATATATTTACAACCCTTATTTGTACATCGTGGATGTAAATGTAAAATATTGTGAAGTTATTTAAAAAAAATATCCTATATTATATAATTAAGTATTAACAAGCTAGTGTCGTAATTATTACATTATTATATTCAATAATTAGAAACAATAGAACTTACTGTGATCAATGATTGTAGTCATGAAAATAAGTTAGATATTTATTTTTAGGAATAAAATATGAATAAGTAAATAATTTACGAATGTTTCTTTTATTAACCTGTATATTGTTAAGTTTTAAATTAAATTTGTACGTTTACCTAAAGCTTGGTAAATGAACAATCAGACCAATTGCCGGTTAGAGAGTTGGCTTTGATATTAAACTAAACCATTGATCTGGAAATCAATTAACTATATAATTAATTACTTTTCATTAATCAAGAAAAGTGAATAGCTGAACGGGAATAATGGCTTTAATGTGGTTTGCGAACTAAGAAAGTATTTTTATATTTGTAAAATTTTCTTTGAGATGTATTTATAAAACTTTATAATGAAAACGAATATTAAATCTTATATAAATTTAGTATTTAAATTTGATAAACAAAGACGTTCTTTGATAATAAAAGAGACCTCAGCTTATAAAATTCTTATTAAATTTTCTTCTTCGCAATTTATTAACTGACAGAGAGTGTAAATAAATGACGCTTAAATATCTTACATTTATATGTGTCAGCGGTTTTAATCATTTATCTTGATAATTAAATTTATCTTCCTGTTTGTCGTATACAAAACATAAATACATGTTTCTAACATGAAATATTCAAAGAAATGTAAAATGAAATTTTAATTTAAAATAATATTGATACACAATTTTTATATAGGTATTCATCATTTCTTATATAAAGTAATACAACGATATAATACTCGTCCACTCTATATATGTAAGTACCAAGTATAGTAACAAATTATAAGCAACGAATGGACATGTTTACATATTGCATATATAAAATTACCTCAGGTAGATCAAAAAAAGGTATATTTAGAACCAGCTTTCCGCCCGCGGCTTCGCCCGCGTCGAGTTCGGCTATATCACGTTTCCAAGAGAACTTTTCAAAAGTCTGGGATAAAAACTATCCTATGTTCTTTCTCATGATCAACTCTATTTCTGTACCTAATTTCATTAAAATCAGTGTAGTGGTTTAGGTGTGAAAACGTAACAGACAGAAAAACAGGCAGAGTTACTTTCGCATTTATAATATTAGTAACGATTTCAACATTAAAACGTTACAGCAATCAAATTGTAAATGAAACTCTTACTGATATTTAATTTAAATTAGTCAAAACAATTTTTGATATACATAAAAATACGCTTCTTTCGTTGGTTGGTAAAATTAACTAAATCAAAACTAAAATATATGAACACCTCTAATATGTATGTGTTTTTTAACTGTACATATTATTCATTTGAAGGGAAAAATCTGTAAAAAATTAAGTTGAAGACTGAATATTTTTTTAACAAATGGATGCAACAACAATATCGAAAAATAGTCCAATCAGGTCAAAATACAACAACCTCACATAAAGGGTAAAAGCTGTGGGTATCATTTGATGGGGGTTTTCATAGTTTACATTTTTAATGCACCTTTGCTTCTTTCGTTCTTTATAAGTCTGAAACAACATTTTTTATTATTACATGAGACATAAAATATCTCAAGGACGATGATAATTTTATTTCCATTGAATTTCGTGTTTTATATTTGTTAAATATCTTTTAGTTTGACAAAATAAGAGAACACAATAATTAACCACATTTTACACCGACTGTGAAAAGCAAGTGTCATTATTATATACACACATTTATATGAGTGAAAGAAAAAAGACAAATTCGTAAAATATCGTCGAATTGTACAAGAAAAACATCTTCATTTATTATCATCATTCATATATTAAACATAAAAAGCAGGATTACGTATTTTCCATAAAATATTTATATTTTAACATACAAATTGTTTATTCATTCTTTAAAAGACACATCACTTCAAAATAAAACAAATATAATAAAACCTTAGCACGTTTTCTCTAAATATTTCAATGTAAAATTACGTTTTCCTAGATTTTATTTGCGCAACTGCTGTCTAGATTAATAGTTCTTACTTTATCTCTTACAACGTTAAAGTAATCTTATATTTCTTCAAATAATTTCTGCATTTTACGTCTTATTTTGAAATCGAAACGTTATACTTTAAAAAGGATCATTATTATATAAATTTATTCTTACTTAAATAAAAATGAATATACATTTACAAAGTTCATAACAATTGCGAGTATATAATAGGGGCTTTAAATTTTTTAGATACTATATACATAAACATCTTTGCATAAAGTTTTATATAATTCATACAAAAGCTACCTATGGGAATGTTGGTAATTACTCTAAAATATAACCTATTTTTTCTACTACTACCTGGCTATTTCCTAGCTATGGTCAGGGTCTGCCTTACATGTTGTGAATAGTTTTGGCTAATTGTTTTTATAACCGGCAGCCTGCCTGACATCAACCCTCTGTGGGAATCAACATTAATCAGTGATGTTTAAATACTCTTAGAAAGTACATATGACTCGGAAAAATCACATTGGTACTTGCCAGGGCCAGGATCGAACCCGCGCCCTCGTGCATGAGAGGCGGGCCTTTTAACCACTAGGGGACCACTGACTAATGTCACCTTGATACCACAAGAACGACACTGTTATGAAATAAAAGTGTAACAAATAGCCCATGAATTGAAAATGCAAACAGACAAAGTAATTATAATTTTGATGTTTTATTATATTTCTATAAATGAAAGTAGTAAGGATTTTAATCTCATTAAATGCTAGGGAAAATTTAATAATGTTTACAAAATGCACTTATTGTGTTAAAACGTTTAATATTTACTCGGTTACACGAGCAGTTTATCTCGCGTGGTAATAAAGTAAATCCCGAACAGCAGTTTCGCTGAATGAAAAATAGTTCGTAACCATCTGGATATTTTACTGCTTGAAATTAAAACTAAGACTGCTTGAATATACTGCACTGTTTTCGCATTTATTATATCACAACAAATAATATCACAACATACTTATCACATGTATATACAATTTTATATTTGGGACTGGAAAAAATGTAAGCTTGACATTATTTAAAAATCCGTGTTGAAATGTTCTAATAACATCTTACTCGGGCATTGCTTACACAAAACTGCAGGTACCGCTTCTTATAATTTTTCAAAAATAAGATTATAATAAAAACAAAAGATTTTTGAAATATTTTTAAACTTCGAGTAGGTATATGCAAAAATTAAAAATAATGCTATCAACAAGTTCTCACCGATCGATTTGAATAATCCATCAATTATGAAAGTAAGACTGACGATACGAGAGCCATCATTAATTATACTATTAACACCACTGATTTAACAGTTGCAAATAGTATGTTAGTGATTCTTTTTCTATCACTTTCCCTTTTCCCCCTATTAATAACACATATATTTTTTTCCCTTTCTTCTGTTTTGAACGCTCTCACTAATTTAATATTCTTTTACTTCGATACGTCTGAAAAAAACAGTTTTTTGTATCTCTATGCTAGACTTCAAGTCGTATTGACTACATTTGTGTGTGTATATGTGTGTCTAAGCTTGTGTGCGTGCGAGCTTGGAGCGCGTGTATACTTGTAGTATTATGCATTATTTATAACACGTGTCGCATATTTAGAATTAGATTGGTAGCCCAGCTGTGGAAGATATGTATATTTACTCTCCTGAAAATATATCACATGCTTATAAAACCATTATTTGTTTTATATTCAGTCGATACATATATACCGACTCATACATGTATCCTCACCTACAAGTTAACTCTAAAAATTTATGACAGTATATCCAAATATTTCTTTTTTTTGTGTCACACATTACAAATTAAATTATCAATTCATTAAATTAATTTCAGTTTCGCAACTATAAAGTATATTATGAGAACTTTATCAGGACTATACGAAAGTTAGGAAGCTTCGAAACTGTGAAGATGTAACAGTAGAGGGGAACAAGGAGTTCTGAAACAATGGTGAGTTGGAACAAAATTGACTGCACGAAAATTATAACAGAGCGTTACAAAACACTTAAGAAAGAAGATACAAAGCTTAGGTATGAAATAAGTTGTTTTATTCCGTGTAACTCATCACCCCGACCAATGCGTAAATATAATTCGATTGTATTTTTATCAAATGGAAATAGAAGAGTGGGACATGAAGGTAATGTAACTAGCTTACTATTGCAACAACTAGTTCAGACAATCTGCCACTGAAACCCTTTCAACCGACTTAGATAGCTTTTTATTAGATTTTTTCGCAAACGAATATTTTCTTTATTTTTATTTCAAAATACTACGTGTTGTAAATCGTTTGTTTTGTGTCGTTTAAAATCCACTGCTTTCTAAATTATGTTAATAATTAATTAATTAATTATATTTCTCTTAATATTGTAATGGAATCTAAAATATATATAAAAGTCATGAACAATTAGAAACATAATACAAAGGAATGTTCTCAACTCATTGTTTTTTATGGCTTATTGTGTTCGTTCAGGTTTTCCTTTTAATATTATATGAGGAACACGAATGAAAATACTTCCTTGTTCATTTCATTCTATAGTGTATACAATTTTAAACCTATTGTGCCAGACATATAAGATATTATCTGTTTATTATATTAAGAAGTATTCTAATATTATTATTTAATATACGGCTTTAAATAATAAAATATAATTTATGCCTGGTGAAACCCATCACTATGAATTTAAATTAAGTTTGAAATTCCATCGTAAAGAGAGTTATGGTACGGAGGTAACAAACTTATAGTTCTCATGTTGAAAACGCTAGTTTAAATATGCATTAAATGGAACTCA